ACAACTATGAGACCAGAAGAACTAGATGGTGCCTGGCTGTGACTGTCAGCCGCTTGGAGGAGGATTTATGTATGAGATCTTGGATAGAGAGGGAGAACAATATGGAACAAAGCTCAAAGTCATTTGTGGGGGAGAAAAGGGGGAGACCAGGCTCTCATAGAGCCTGGTGGAACCACTGAGACTATGGCCCCTACCTGCCCTTCAGGTCTGGAATTGAACCCACACTTGTGGCTTTCAGCCAAACAAAAGACAGGAATATGGGTTGAACTTTTACCTGAGGTAGATACACTCTTTGGAGAGAACAGTCGTGAGAGAAAGAAAGACTGTTTATGCACAGGGAGACAGATTGGGGGACAGGAGTGCATGGAGGGATGGACACAGGGAAGAGATAACTCGGGAGGAAGTGGGAGGGGAGCTGTTGCATTGTGGTAAATTGTAGTCAGTGTCTTAAGACACAGTGTGTGTGAACTTCTATATAGAAAGTGAATTTTCTCTGTAAGCTTTTGCCCAAATCACAACTTAAATATATATATATATATATATATATATATAATGGATGTCATAAGAGACTCTGAAACTTGCTCTTGAATGGAGAGTAGCTAAAATAAATGAAAGAGATAACGAGATGAAAGAGTTGCACAGAAGATTTCAAAGAGTAGGTTGAGAAAACAAAGTCAGTTATTATAATGAACTGTGAAAAGACCTGGAGTTAGAGAACCAAAATGGAGGAACATGCTTGGCATTTTTCAAGCTGAAAGAACTGAAGAAAAAATTCAGTCCTACAGTTGCAATATTGAAAGATTCTATGGGCAATATTGAATGATATGTGAAACATCAAAAGAAAATGGAAAGAATACAGAGTCACTGTACCAAAAAGAATTGGTCGATGTTCATCCATTTCAGGAGGTGGCATATGATCAAGAACCAGTGGTGTTGAAGTAAAAGCTGCACTGAAGGAATTGGCATAAAACAAGGCTCCAGGAATTGACAAAATACCCATCAAGGTGTTGCACCAAATGGATGCTGTGCTGGAAGCACTCACTTGGCTATGCCAGGAGATTTGGGAGACAGCTACCTGGCCAAGTGAGTGGAAGAGATCCATATTTGTACCCATTCCAAAGAAAGGTGATCCTACAGAATGTGGAAATTATCGAACAATATCGTTAATATTGCATGCAAGTAAAATATTGCTGAAGGTAATACAGAAATGGTTGCAGCAATATATTGACAGAGAACTTCCAGAAATGCAAGCAGGATTCAGAAGAGGACGTGGAACGAGGGATATCATTGCTCAAGTCAGATAGATCTTGGCTCCAAGCTAAGAATACCAGAAAGATGTTTACTTGTGTTTTATTGACTATGCAAAAGCATTCAATTGTGTGGATCATAACAAATTATGGATAATATTGAGAAGAATGGGAATTCTAGAACATTTAATTGTCCTCATGAGGAACCTGTACATAGACCAAGAGGCTATCATTCGAACAGAACAAGGAGATATTGTATGCTTTAAAATCAGGAAGGGAGTGCCTCAGGCCTGTATGAACTTGAACATGGCATCAGGATTGGAGGAAGACTCATTCACAACCTGTGATATGCAGGCGCCACAACTTTGCTTGCTAAAGATGACTTGAAGTACTTAATGGTGAAGATTGAAGACTATAGTTTGCAGTATGGATTGCACCTCAACATAAAGAAAACAAAAATTCTCACAACTGGACCAATAAGCAGCATCATGATAAATGGAGAAAAGATTGAAGTTGTCAAACATTTCATATTGCTTGGTTTCATAATCATTCCACTGGAAGCAGCAGTCAAAATCAGACGTTGTATTGCACTGGGCAAATCTGCTGCAAAAGAGCTCTCTTTAAAGTGCTGAAGAGCAAAGATATCTCCTTGAAGACTAATGTGCATCTAACCCAAACCTTGGTATTTTCAGTTACCTCATATGCATGTGAAAGCTGGACAGTGAATAAGGAGACTGAAGAATTGATGCTTTCGAGTTGTAGAGTTGGCAGAGAATACTGAAAGTACCATGGACTGCCAGAATGAACAAATCCACCCTGGAAGAAGAGTAACTGGAATGCTCCCTGGAAGCAAGAATGGCCAGACTTCGTCTCACCTACTTTGGTCATGTTGTCAGAAGGGACCATTCCCTGGAGAAGGATATCATGCATGGTAAAATGGAGGGTCAGTGCAAAAGGGGAAGGCCCTGAACGAGATGGACAGTAATAGTGGCTGCAACAGTAGGCTCAAGTATAGCAAGGATTGTGGGCCTGGCAGCTGGGCAGTGTATCATTCTGTACACAGGGCACCATGAGTTGGCACTGACTTGACAGCACGTAACAACAGCCCTTTTTTAGTTTTTTACAGTAGTTAGCTGTGTTTTCAGTGAAGGTTTATACAGGAGTTTAGGTTCCCATTCAACGATTTTTGTACAGGTTGCTTAGTGACATTGGTTAGTTATGTCACAATGAACGTTCTCATTATTTCCATTCTGGTGGTTCCATTTCCATTAATCTAATTTCCCTGCTCTATTACATTCTCACTGTTCTCAGGTTAATGGATTTTTATTTGACCTTTGGTTACATATAATTCATTTCATCTTATCCAAGAAACCATCAGTTGAAGGGTACATCATTATTTTATTACCATGAAGAAATTTTAAAAATACTAGCAATTAAGCTATGACATGCCAGTGATTGTAAGATATATCCTAACTAAGAGTTGCTAAAATGTGGGAAATGTGATTTATAGAATCTATGAAATACTATATTTTTGTTCTCTTATAACAGCAAATCTTTTAAATATTGTGTTTAATTATTCAGCGAATATATATTAAATGCCCACTTTGTATTAGCCAGTTGCTGCTTCCCAAAAAAAACCAAACTCACTGTCATCGAATCAGATCCAATTCATAGAGACCCCTCCTTGGGTTTCCGAGGCAGTATCACTACGGAAGTAGATTGCTCAATTTTCCTTCCGAGGAGTAGCTGGTGAGTTTGAACTGCCAGCCTTCTAGTTAGCAGTCAAATGCCTTAGGCACTATGCCATCACAACTCCCAGTTGCTGCTTAGAAGTTTGGAATCTTCTGTTCAGTGTTGAAACAGTGATAAAATGTATTTTCCCTAAAATCTTTTTATAAAATTTCTACCAAGCCCAGGATCTTCTGGTTTCAACAGCTCTTCTAACTCAACATAGCTTTTTCTTTCCCAAATCTTTTTTTCTTGGGAGAAAAAAAAACAACTCAACTGCTGTCAAGTCGGTTTCGACTCATAGTGACCCTCCTTTGGTTTCTGAGGCGGCATCTCTACGAAACTACTCTTACAATTAATATGCCTCTATAGGGAGGTTGGGCAATCTACTTCCATAGTGATACCGCCTCGGAAACCCAGAGAGGGGCTATGAGTCGGGGCCGACTCGACGGCACGTAACAACAACAACGTTGTTGTTGTTGTTGTTATGTGCCGTCGAGTCGGCCCCGACTCATAGCGACCCCTCCTTGGGTTTCCGAGGCAGTATCACTACAGAAGTAGGATTGCCCAACCTTACAGGATATGTATTAAAATGTGTAATCAAGCTATTCCCACAGGAATTACTGATCTGTTGAGTAACAGTTTTAGGGTAAACGTTCTGATCTGAACCAGTAGATATGAATAGATAGAAGGTGCCTAGGCAAAAATGAATAGGTGGCAGCTAATAGGAAGAGGAATTTGGAGGTAAGGTCATGAAAGTTTAGCCATCTTGAAACAAATTTGCATACTCTTCTGGGCAGTGAAAGGAAAATACCAAATTCAAGAGTTCTCCAGGCAAATACATGGAAGATGGAGACAAGTAACCCCAGTCCATCCTTGTGACTGCAGTAAGGCTGTTAAGAAATAAGTTTACAGTAATAAGAGGTGAAACCTATAGACTCTAATTGGAGTAGTAGCAGTAGCAGATATATACAGTGTAGCTTATTTAGATAATTTGAGAGTAGAATTTTACAGATTAAACTCTGGCAAAATATTAACTGCTATCAGTGCAATTGGTTTAAGCTAACAGGAATTTGTTGTTGTTCAGAAATAAAGTGCCTTTTTCTTGTAACAAACTTGGGAGCAGGATTGGAAGGTGAGCCAAACCCACCCAAATCCAGGGTTGGCTTGCCAAAATTTGTGTGGCAAGATGTGTTTGATAAGCTGAATTTAGAACTGAAGAGAACTCAGAAACATACTCACTATACACTCTTCTTTTTAAGATTTTCAGTAGCTCCTTTCCATTGGTTTCTTTATATGAAGTAATTTTTTAAAACTACCTGTGTGTGTATGTGTGACTTAAAGGAGGAATGCTAGAGTGGGTCAGATAAGGGAGCAGCATCATAGACAGGTGCCACTGGCCTGCTGGTTCAGCTGCAGAAGCGTCTGGAAGAGCTGGGAGGGAGAGGCTGAGCTCTGGGGATGGAATGTGCATACCCATCTGCATGTGACGCTGCTCACCTTCTCATCTGGGGGCTGCATCAGGATCCCAGCAACCTTACCATCTGCAGCTATTACCATCATACCCCATGTGTGGTTTCTCACATGTGAGATAGCCAAATCATATTTTTCCTTTGCAATCTTTGTCTGATTAACCTTTCCCTTTTAACATGTTCCTCAGTTCTGTATTAAGGCCTGTGGAGGCTTTAGTTTACCCTTGATCTCTCTCATTTTTCAGGGCTAGTAGTAGAATGCCAGCAAGAACGGTCACAGATAAAAAATAAGGAAATAGCCTTGCGTGTGCTGAGAGCTAAACTCTACCAGCAGATTGTTGAGAAAGACAAGTGCCAACAACAAAGTGTTAGGAAACTGCAGGTAAGATTAATTTAGTGTAATAATTCAATAATGATACAAAAAGTCATTGTGCTATGTAGAAAATGTAGTGTTTGCTCCTGTTTGAGTGTAAATGTCTTACAGCATTGGGAAATATGCTCGTTTGTACATAGAAATCACTTATATGCATATGCATTGACACATTCTGGCTACATTTGGGCATGCCAGTATGCAAATGAATAGGTGAGATGTATAAAAACTAAAAATTATTTCCCAGTTGTTGCTTCTAGTAGGAGCTCTGGTGGCATAGTGCCTAAGGCATTTGACTGCTAACCAGAACGCTGGCGGTTCAAATCCAGCAGCTACTCCTTAGAAGGAAGATTGGGCAATCTACTTCCATGGAGATAATGCCTCGGAAACCCACTGTGAGTCAGATCTGACTCAACAGCGGTAGTTTTTTTTTTTTTTTGGTTTTGCTTAACTGTGGTTATAGCCTTATAGCCTACCTGTCTTAGGAGGAAGTTGGTTCAAAATAATAATAATGATAATAATTTTCTGGAAATGAAGAAGTTTTTAGATTTTTAATTTAAAATTTTTATGTTTATTATTACCATTTTATGTGAGATTAAAAATAAATGGCATTGGAAGAAACTGGTTACAGTGATTGTAACTGATGGAGTCTGGGAACCAGGGAGAGGTGGGAGATTTATCTTTCACTTGGTGGGGCAAATGGTTAAGCACTCAACCAGCAGGCAGAAGGTTGATGATTCAAACCTATAAGAAGACAGGCCTGGTGATCTGCTTTCAAAAGGTCACAGCTTTGAAAACCCTATAGCACAGTTCTGTTCTGCACACATGGATTTTCTGTGAGTTGGAATCGATTCGACAGCAATTAACAACAGTATACTCCTTTTTACAGTTTGAATTTTGAATTATATGCATATTGTTGTTGTTAGGTGCTATTGAGTCGGCTCTGACTTACAGCAACCCTCTGTACAACAGACCAAAACACTGCCCAGTCCTGTACCAGCCTAACAATGCTTGTTATACCTGGGTCCATTATTGCAGCCACTGTGAGTCCATCTTGTTGAGGGATGAGCCCTTTTGCACTGACCCTTCACTTTACCAAGAATGATATCCTTCTCCAGGGAATGGTCCCTTCTGAAAACATGACCAAAGTAGGTGAGACGAAGTCTGGCCATTCTCATTTCCAAGGAGCATTCTAGCTACACTTCCTCCAAGACCAACTTGTTAGTTCTTCTGGCAGTCTATGGTACCTTAAGTATTCTTCACTAACACCGCAACTCAAAAGCATCAACTCTTCGTCAGTTTTCCTTATTCATTGTCCAGCTTTCACATGAATATGAGGTTATTGAAAACACCTTGGCTTGGGTTTAGCGCACCTTCATCTTCAAAGAGACATTTTTGCTCTTCGGTACTTTAAAGATTTAAATCTAGGCAGCAGATTTGCCCAGTACAGTATGTCATCTGATTTCTTAACTGCTGCTTCCATTGATGTTGATTGTGGAACCAAGCAATATGAAATCTTTGACAACTTCAGTCTTTTCCCCATTTATCGTGATGTTGCTTATTGGTCCAGTTGTGAGGATTTTTGTTTTCTTTATATTGAAGTGTAATCCATACTGTAGACTATAGTCTTTAATCTTCATCAGTAAGAGCTTCAAGTCATTTTCACCTTCAGTAAACAAGATTATGTCATCTGCATGTCACAGATTGTTAATAATCCTGGGGCTGTGTTCTTAATGTAGTCCAGTTTCTTGGATTATTTGCTCAGCATGCAGATTGAATAAGTATGGTGAAAGGATGAGACCCTGATGCACTCCTTTCTTGATTTTAAACCATGCAGTATCCCCTTGTTCTGTTCGAATGACAGCTTCCTGGTCTAGGTACAGGCTTTTCATGAGGACAGTTAAGAGTTCTGGAATTCCCATTTTTCTCAATGTTATCCATCATTTGGTATGATTCACACAGTTCAGTGCTTTTGCATAGTGAATAAAACACAAGTAAACATCTTTCTGGTATTCTTTGCTTTTGGCCAAGAGCCATCTGACATCAGCAATGATGTCCCTTGTTCCACGTCCTCTTCTGAATCCACCTTGCATTTCTGGAAGTTCCCTGTCATTATATTACTGCAAACATTTTTTATTTATCTTCAGCATGATTTTACTTGCATGTGATATTAATGATATTCAATAATTTCCACATTCTGTGGGATCATCTTTCTTTGGAATAGGTACAAATATGGATCTCTTCCACTCAGTTGGCCAGGTAGCTGTCTTCCAGATTTCTTGGCATAGACGAATAAGTGCCTCCAGCTCAGCATCCATTTGTTGAAACATCTCAATGGGAATTCTGTCAGTTCCTGGAGCCTTGCTTTTTACCAGTTCTTTCAGTACAGCTTTGACTTCTTCCTTCAGTACCATCAGTTCTTGACCATATGCTGCTTTCTGAAATGGATGAACATCAACCAATTCTTTTTGGTACAGTGATTCTGTATATTCCTTTCATCTTCTTTTGATGTTTCCTGCATCATTCAGTATTTTGCCCATGGAAACTTACAGTATTGCAACTCATGGCTTGAATTTTTTCGTCAGTTCTTTCAGCATGACAAATGCTGAGCATATTCTTCCCTTTTGGTTTTCTAACTCCAGGTGTTTACATATTTCATTATAATAATTGACTTTGTCTTCTCAACCTGCTCTTTGAAATCTGTTCAGCTCTTTTATCTTGTCATTTCTTCCATTTCCTTTCTTGTTGTTAGGTGCCATTGAGTTGTGTCCAACTCATAGCAACCTTATGTACAGCAGAACGAAACACAGCCTGGTCCCACACCAGCTCCATGATCCTTGCTATAATTGAGCCCATCGTCGCAGCCACTGTGTCAGTCCATCTCATGAGGGCCTTCCCCTCTTTTGTTGACCCTCCACCTTACCATGCATGACATCCTTCTCCAGGAAATGGTCCCTTCTGACAACATGACCAAAGTAGGTGAGAAGTCTGGCCATTCTTGCTTCCAAGGAGCATTCCGGCTGCACTTCCTTCAGGACAGATCTGTTAGTTCTTTTAGCAGTCCATGGTACTTTCAGCATTCTTCGCCAGCACCACAACTCAGAAGCATCAATTCTTTCTCAGTCTTCCTTATTCATTGTCCAGCTCTCACATGCATACGAGGTGATTGGAAATATCATGGCTTGTGTCAGGTGCACCTTAGTCCTCAAGGTGACATCCTCGCTCCTCAGCACTTGAAAGAGGTCCCTTGTAGCCAATTTGTCTGGTGCTATACATCAGCTAATGTCCTTACTGCTGCTTCTTTTGGCATTGATTGTAGAACCAAGCAATGTGAAATCTTTGACAACTTCAATCTTTTCTCCATTTATTGTGATGCTGCTTATAGGTCCAGTTGTGAGGATTTTTGTTTTCTTTATATTGAGCTGTAATCCATACTGCAGACTGTATTATTCAATCTTCATCAGTAAGTGCCTCAAGTCATCCTCACTTTCAGCAAGCAGGGTTGTGTCATCACCATATCACAGGTTGTTAATGATTCTTCTCCAATCTTGATGCCATGTTCTTCTTCATATAGCCCAGCTTCTTGGATTATTTGCTCGGCATACAGATTGAATAAGTATGGTAAAAGGATACAACCCTGACGCACTCCCTTCTTGATTTTAAACCCCTTGCAGTGTCCCCTTGTTCTGTTCAAACAATAGCCTCCTGGTCAATGTACAGGTTTCTCATGAGCACAATCAAGTGTTTGAGAATTCCCATTCTTCTCAGTGTTATCCACAATTTGGTATGATCCACACAATCAAAATGCCTTTGCATAATCAATAAAACACAAGTAAACATCTTTCTGATATTCTTTGCTTTGAGCCAGGATCCATCTGACAGCAGCTGATATCCCTTGTTTCTATGTCCTCTTCTGAATCCAGCTTACATCTCTGGAAGTTCTCTGTCAATATACTGCTGCAACCGTTTTTGAATTATCTTTAGTAAGATTTTACTTGCATGCAATATTAATGATATTGTTCGATAATTTCCAAATTGTGTGGGATCACCTTTCTTTAGAATGGGTACAAATATGGATCTCTTCCAGTTAGTTGGCCAGGTAGCTATTTTCCAAATCTCTTGGCATAACTGAGGAGTGCCTCCAGTGGGGCATCCATTTGTTGAAATATCTCATTGGGTATTCCATCAATTCCTGGACCCTTGCTTTTCACCAATTCCTTCAGTGCAGCTTTGACTTCTTCCTTCAATACCATTGCTTCCTGATCATATACCACCTCCTGAAATGGATGATCATCTATCAGTTCTTTTTGGTACAGTGACTTTGTGTATTCTATCCATCTTCTTTTGATGTTTCCTCCATCATTCAATATACTGCCCATGGAATCTTTCAATATTGCAATTCGAGGCTTACGTTTTTTCTTCAGTTCTTTCAGCTTGAGAAATGCCGAGTGTGTTCTTCCCTTTTGGTTTTCTAACTCCAAGTCTTTGCACATTTCATTATAGTAATTGGCTTTGTCTGCTTGAGCTGCTCTTTGAAATCTTCTGTTCAGCTCTTTCATCTTGTCATTTCTTCCATTTGCTTTAGCTACTCTTCTCTCAAGGGCAAATTTCAGAGTCTCTTCTGTCATCCATTTTGGTCTTTTCTTCTTGTCTCATCTTTTTAATGACCTCTTGCTTTCTTCATGGATGATGTTCTTGATGTTATCCCACAATCCTGGTTTTTGGTCATTGGTGTTGAATGCATCAAATCTCTTCTTTAGATGGTCTCTAAATTCAGGAGGGATCTATTCAAGATCATATTTTGCTTCTTGGGCTTGTTTTAACTGTCTTTAACTTCAAGTTAAGCTTTCATATGAGCAGTTGGATGGTCTTTCCACAATCAGCTTCTGGCCTGGTTTTGGCTGAAGATATTGAGCTTTTCCATAGCCTCTTACCACAGATATAGTCAATCTGATTCCTGTGTATTCCATCTGGCGAAGTCCACATGTGTAGCCACCGTTTGTGTTGTTGAT